TTGATTTTTTTTCAGGGGAGGGGGGGGGGTTCGCCCAATGAAGTCACTACTGGTGAAGTGCTTTGACCGCTTCATTTGGGCCGGCTACTAGCGCTGGGCGGCTAGGTTCCCGATTATTGAAAGATAGGAATCGTAGGAATCGACTCCGAACCCAATTACTTATATTTTAATAGTGTGATTTCTTCCAGTGGTTACCTGGTTGGCTCCGAAAATCTTCAGGATTTAGGATAACCTTGATTTCATACCTCTACAAAGCATCAACTTTTATTTTTCAAAAAAACCTTTTTTTTTTAAAAGAAGATTTGTAACTGATAACCGTCGGTTTACTTAAAAAGGAGTCTGTACTTTTCTTCCGTAGCATTGATTGTGGGAATCGGTTCCGGAATCAATTCTTCGCCCAGCTCTACCGGCTACCGGTGCTGTTTTTCTATACTCGATCTAACTTGGTATCCATTATACGTTATCATGTGAAGGTCCAAAGTTCGTAGCGAAAACAGAACAATGTTCGTTGAAGCTGAACGAAGGCTTTTTTGTTTTCGACTAACACACGAGACTATCACCCTTGAAAGAAAACCTGATACTATATGTGTGTGAGGCAGCGAGGTGGAATCAGGCTCTCGTCAAAATAATCAAAGTGTAGAAACTTGCATTTTTCCGCAGGTTTGTGAAATTTTATAAAATTTGTGTTTTTTGGCTCAACACCTTTCATGCCCATTAAAGAACTCATTTCTGAGTGGATTTTTCTGAAAAACGTTGATTAAAGGCACAAAAAAATTTTTTTTTCAGTTATCACGGACTCTTAAGCTCTGGAAGTTACTAATCTTTTGGAGGCCATTTTCTCATTAATTCTATCTCTGAAAACAGGTGACCCCCACCTCCTTCATTTGCATATATCTCGACCTGTAGTCAAGATAAATGGATATTGTTTTCCTCCAAATAAAGACAAGTGAACAAGCTTTAAGGTGATAGCAATACCTCTACAAGCCCAAAAATTGACGAGAGCCTGATTCCACCACGCTGTCTCACATATACAGATAAAAAGTAGCTTAGTTTACTACCTTATTGTTTTGGTTCGGCTTGTCAGTTCTTCTGAGCTCTGTGTCAATGAGAATGAGCAAGTAGCTACGTTCACTGCTGTCTTTCCCTTTCCCTCCCCGCTCTCTCTCTCTCTCTCTCTCTC